TTTGCCTTGGGAGGCACTTGCTCCGCCTGTTTCACCAGTGCTTTGGCCGGTGCTTGCGCTGCTGGTTTTGCCATTACCTTCGCAGGCGCTGAGTCCACATGTTGAGCCTTTGCCTTGGCAGGTGCTGTATCTAGTTGTTTTGCTAAAGCTTTGGCAGGTGCTTGCTTTGTTGGTGGCTCTTGTGGTGTCTTAACTTTCGGGGGTGATGTGGTGGCTGGTGGAGGTTCAGCTGAGGACTGCGCCTTTGGCGGGATGGCCTGCTTCACTTTTGGAGCCTTCGCGGCTGCTTTGGCTCCTGGAGTCGGCTGACCAGACTGGGACAGCCCCGGTGTCGCAGGCGCACTCGGATCAGTCGCTTTGGGTTTTGGTGTCGCTGGGGCGTTCGTCTTGGCTTGCGAAGGCTTCACTGGCGTCCCTTGAGGAACTGCGTCTCCTTGCATGCCAAGTATCAAACTCTGTGAAGCCGAGCACCACGCAGCTCCCCTCGATCTTCGAGATCGGCATCTTTGAGGTGGGCATCCATCCCGAGATCATTTGAAAACATCCTTTCGCAACTACATAGAAATATATATATATATATTGTGTAAAACACACCATTTTGATCCATTTTGTGTATACACGTCTATCATCCTAGTGTGAAGGATGCAGCTCCTCCTGTCTGTTGCAACTTTGATCTATTTTGCAATGTTCCTGTACAAATAAATTTGCAAATACTGAAGCAGCAGCTGTGAGTGGACCGTCGGTGGCCAGAAGCGCGTAGCCCAACGTTTGTTCATGCCTTTGCCATGAGTTCTTGCATAACGATGGTAAGACTCTATAGCGCCAGTAAAAGCAATGGAGCAATGACGGTAGCAAGTTTAGAGTAAACATTAGTGCTTTTGTTCAATCTTGAAGCAACATGTCCAGCACCTCTCTGCGTAGGGTGGGTGCGGCATGATCAGCCAAGGCCCATGGAGACTGTGCACGTGCCTTCTTTCAATCCAATTCAGTCCTGTAACTTGCCTGCGAGTCTGAAAATTGCTGTTCATAAGATTGACAGAGAGAGAGAGAGAGAGTTGAAAGGAAAGTAAAGGAAGCAATGACAGTAGAGTAAAGAAGTCCTTGCACCCCTTCAAGGCCCAATTCACCTATCACCTTTTGTTGGTGTCGACTGGCACCCATACAATATGATACATCTATCCTTCGTGCTTGTCAAGGTGTGTCTCGAGAGCAACTCTGATGTCCACTGATGGCAATGAGAAAGCACTCCAGCCCTGTTGAGCCAAAACCAGTCGTGAAGATTGCAGAACAAAGTCCTCACAGCCATAAAACAAAGAATCCGAATCCGAATCCTTTTGTCATGAAATATCAGGTCTGTCTGTCTCCACTTCAATCTATGTGACCAACTTTTGCTCGCGAATAGGCTGGACTCAGCCAAAGGCATGAGCTATGCTCAAACCTCATCTGCCCGGCTGCCAGGCATCTGTGTCCCTACAGCCAGGTCGGCACCAGCAGCTTGACCACCGCCATTCGGCCGTGGACGAGCTGCCACGGCGCGGGAGGACAAGATAGTCGTGAAATCATGAACACGGCTCTTTTTCATTTATATATAGAATATAGATACGACACGTCACATTCAGTCACATCCATCTCAAAATATGTCAAAATCTTCAAGCCGGGCATTTAACATGAACTCGGATCCTGCCTCCCCTTGCGAAAAGCGCCTACGTGCTTGAGCTGCTGACAGCTCAGCCTCCACACCTTCAGGTGTGTGGCGTAAACTTTTAGACACCCCGGAGCGTCGCGCACTCGTGGCACAACCGATGGTATCTATTCCGACTTGTCAGAGTCATGGCGCTTCCAAAGGGAAGTAGGATCCAATACAATGGAAGAACAAGCCTGCCTTCAGGGTCGTTCCTGATCTCTCGATAATACGTTTAAGGTCGAGTCTTGAAGTGCTGGAGGGTTTGGTTGCTTTTGTGCATATGATTTCTTCGTGGATCTTCTAAGGTTTGGACATGTGAGAGTGCGAAATTGGAGGAAAAGAATGCATGCCGGCCGTGAGCCACACTCTGTCTTCATTTCTGGGCGCATCTTCCTCTCTCACCCCAATGTAATTCATGGAGACACATCCAGTTGGTCATGTCGCCTTTCTTGAATTGGGGAGCTCCCTGAGCCATGACAGAAACAAGCCGGATGGACGGTTTCAGGCCTGAGGCGCTTCCAGCGACCCCGGCGTCCGTCCTGAAAAATGAAATTGCCGTGGATTCGGGCATATACGTTCAGCATCGTTCAGCTTTCTTCTGCCGCATGCAGGTGAAAACCAGGAACTGATGCGCACCGGATCCACATGGACATGCAAAGGTTGCCAGCTCAACCGGCCACTTTCACACTGCGTCGTGACTAAAGTCACCGACCATTCTCAGTGTGCCAGGATCAAACATCCTGATCTTCCAGCAGCGTCCCCTGCAGCGGATCTGCTGCGGACCTCCTGTGGAGCCAAAGAGAGCCGAGTTCGATCCTTCATCCTTCCACCTTCGAGCCTTCCAACCCCACTTGAACGACATGTGACTGGTGGAAATGCTCTAGCATGCTGTATAGTCAGGCAAAAAAGAAGCAAGGATAAGAAGGATAAGGGTATTGATCTTGTACGCGGAAGCTTGGCCAAAAGATGCCACAAAATCGGCCCTCCAGACTGATCGCCTCATTGTGCCTCGTCTATTTGCCTGATCGCGGAGATGACTTCCAGTCTTGCTCCTGCAGGGCACGGTGCTGATGATCTTCCGAGGTACAGGGGCTATGAACAGCACAGGGTCCCTCTCCAAAAAGATCTAAGTTTGGGGATGAGTGTGAGTGATCCATCCAAAGCAGTTGCATCACTTTGGCAAGTCTACACAGGACCGGCAAATAGTCAGAGATCGGTCAGCAGGAGGTGGTGAGGAAATCAGCAATGTGAACGTGTGGTGTACCCTGCAGCTGTGTGCCCTGCCCAGTCTTGGCTCCTGCTGCGAAGACATGAGTAAACGCCCGGCCGATGGCAAAGGAGGCCCTCTTGGCCTGGGTCATCACAACTAACTGGACTAACGCATCCAACGAAAGTGCTTGGTATGGTTCACCACGAAGCAGCTAAGCAACAACCAAGAAAATGCGATCTTCAAATGAAGGAGAACAACAGCTAAGTGGCTAAGTGGCTTCAAAAATCGTCAAACCGTCACGTATCTTCAAATGCTAACCATCGGATACAAGTCCCGCCTGACAAGGGGATCCAATCGGCGAGGGGTGTGTCCTGCCGGTGGAACGCATCTGTTCTCATCATGAGCCTTATCTGATACAAAGCGCTGAAGACAGTTCTACTAAAGTGTTAGTCACTTTAGTCCTCTTTTGCTGTTGCTCATCTCAACCACAATTTGAAATCAAATGCGGCTCAAATGTTGCGTTTTTTTACGCTGCCGCTGCCGCTTGGCAAATAACACCGACACTGAACTCCTGGCGAATGAGAGCTTGCAGAAGATGCTGGACTTGCAGACCTTAGCGGCCCAATGGCGCCCAAGGGCTCTGAAATGCGTCCCTTCCCAGTCTAATCATAACAGAATATAAATGTATTTGACAGGTGATTTTTGTCAGGATCCTGCCACTAGAAGCCATCCTTTGTGGGCCAAGCACTCACTTGCGCACCCCCAAATAACCTCACTTGCGCACTTAGCACTCACTTGCACACTTTCAGGGGGAAAGTGAAGGTGAAAGGACATTCAACCACCAACAATCTATTGGGTGGGGGGGTAGGAGAAAATGAAAAGATACTCAACCACCAAACAATGTAAGTTCTTGCACCTGACATGTAATTAGGTGAGGTTACTGAACACAACTGCTCATTAAAATTACATATCTTGTTGGGGTGAAGTGGGTGGGTGGGGGGGGGGGGGGGGGGGTGGGGGGGTTAATAACGTCTTTGTTGACATTCTTCCACGTGATGATCTTTATTGAATATGTGCTTCCAAAGAACCATGTGATACAGATGTTCTGTGTCTGATCTAGTTAGTTAGTTAGTTTGTTTGTTAAATAGATAGCTAGTTAACTAGTTAGCTAGCAAGCTAGCTAGTTAGTGAGTACTATGATGTTGTAGTAGTAGTAAGGAGTAGTAGAAGTAGTAGTAGTAGTACTAGTAGAAAAAATGCACAAGCGAGGTAAATTTGCAAGTGCACAAGCGAGGTAAATTTCAAGTGCACAAGCGAGTGCTCGCCCTCCTTTGTGGAGGCTGAAGAGCCATCTGATTTATATAACTACAGTAACCCCTTATAATGTTCAAAAACGATGAGCATTGCTTATAACAAGAAGCTACTAGGTTGGGGGCCATCGTTATTAGGTTGGAGGCCATCACTACTAGTAACAAGAAGCTACTAGTAACAAGTGCATCGCTACAATGACCACCCCGAACTTGCTTCGACTTCCTGTGGCCACGGCCGCGAGACATCTGCGGAGGGTGGTGGCACCAAGAGGCTGCCATCTCCGGGCCCTGCCAGAAGACTCGTGGACAAAGCGGAGAAGGTGGATGACTCAACAGACTACAGACCCAATGGATTCCAATGGCTTTGACATCTGACATGAGCCCATGAGCTAAGAAATGAATTGAAAGTGGTGAAAATAGCTTTCAGCAACATTAGTGCAACATGAGTGCTCAAGCTGGTAAAGATTGGCCCGATTTAATAAGATGGACTCAAAGCAAAAATAAATGACGGGCCAATAGAAACTTGGCTCGTTTGCTAATTACGATGGCAGCTGCACAGCAGCAAATTTGTTGTCTGGTACTTTGACATACTTTGACTTCTCGGCGCTGCGAAGTAGAGAGACCAACAAACACACTGGACACCGTCTGACCGGCCTCCACGTTTACCCACTGGCTCCGAGGATAAAATGGCGGAGTTCTGCATTGCCAGTTGGGATCGACGCAACATGTTTGCACTATCAGCTTTCAGCTCGCTGGGCTGTTTTGGTCTCACCCCCAATGACTCCCAGGAGTGTTCTGTTGATTAATCAGCAACAAATTCAACTCTGAGCAATCAAGCAACCTCTATATTATATATAAATATATGCAACTATAGGTGCTGTATGCACATGTCTGCATACATATACATTGCTATTATTTGCTATTCAATATACATATTTTAGATTTCTCGTGTATTCACCTGGACACTCAACCCCCCCAAGCCAGCTTGGATGCCTTTGGTGCCATAAGGTACAAGGTCAAACGTTTTCTGTAGCTGCTAGCCATTCGCAGTGACCAAACCCCTCCTTGGACTCTGAGCGCAAGGGCTGGCTACCTGGAGGAACGTGAGGACACAGAACGAGGAGGCGTCGCTTGAATAATTTGAAACTTGCTGTGTCTGCGGGGCCGCATTCCATGTCCCCCTAAAAACATGCGCCCCGAGCACGTATGGAAGAACATGAAGCGCCCGAGGGAGCAGGAACGGGCAGCGTTAACAGAAGCTTGTATAGTCGGCATAGTTGAAATCTTGGGATGCAAGCCTTTGCCTTTCTGAATCTTTCCGGTCATTTTCGCATGGCTTTGTGACACCGACCAACAAAATCGAAACCCCTCGCCAACCGAGGTGCCGGTGCCAGTCATCTCGTTTGGGGTCTGCTCCAGGCGGTCGAGGTCATCCGACTGCGAAATGCAAAAAACATCAATTAACAATTGTTGAGATCACTTGATGAGCTGTGGTCAAATCATCAAACCACTCATGATTTGTGTACATTTGTGTAGGACAAAAAGCCTTCTTGTTTCGATTTGCAAGTGACTCATGAAGGCCCCCTAGACTCACGCTCAGCTGTGAAGCATTGAAGGGAAAAGTGGAGGGCAGGTCTGGCTGAAAGTGACTCAGTCGAGGCCAACACTTTGAGACTCAAAGTGGCAACAAAGCCTCAATGATATGTCCTGTTCCCTTTAAAGGCTTTTTGAGGTCTTAAGGAGTTTAGAATCGAAGAAGAGGAAGTGTTTATGGAGATGCCCAACCTGAGGAGTGACCTGCTCCGGACGAGATCTGCCACGTGGGAGGTCCTGCATAGTCGAAGCGGCATGCTACACCAAGCAGCAGGTACGGCTACACACAGGCACCCAGTCAATACAACAGAATACAATAGAATCCTACGAGTACCAGGGAATGTAATGGACTGTGAACACACATTATTACATTATAACTTATTATGAAGATGGATGAAAATGATGAACATCGCCATTGATGGGATCTTTTCTTCAAGTCGCTGAGTCACAACGGGTAGACCCAGAGTTATGAGCTGAGAGGACCAAGGAAACTCGTCCGCAATTAACTTTTCTCATTTTTCCTCCAGCTACGGGCCGAGTGTTGAGTACTGATCACTTGACAGTAAGATTTGACCCAAGCACTCACAACTGTGAGACAAAAGCCAGCATCAGAAGCTTCACGGTCCATCTCCAGGCCTGACAAGTGCTTCCGTCGCCCTTCAGCTGGCGTTTGACATTGTGACGGCTCAAGCCAAATAAAGGCTTCTCTTGCTGGAGCAGCTGGGAAATGTGGCCACATAGATGTACTGTATCCCCAGGGCAACCTTCTCGGCGCTGCATGTCAAGCAATCCGGCGCTGTAAGTATGGCAAAAAGGAGACGCCCACCTTCAATCTAGCCTCAACACCGAGACAGCAATCTTCCAGCCAACTCCCGCCTGCGCCTCCTGTAGTGGCTCAACCACCAGACTCAGACCCATCTCCATTTGCCAGGGGGTGTTGTCCCTCTTCGGTGTCCTCATCGTGAAAGATCAGCTGCTGAATTTCCCGGCGCAAGGCTGCGAAATATCGGCTCCAAAAGCCGTTTTCGGTCAACCTCAGGGTGCTTCTGTCTCTCTCCTCCTTGTTTTCCACGTTTTGCCGGGGTTCCATTTGGTGGAGGTGGGTCCCCTAAGTTGAGAAACAAAATATGGAAAAGGCCAACGCCTTCGTGGTACCAGCTCAAACCGGACCCTCCGGAGCTCTGAGTTCCATTCGAGCAAAGCACCCGCCCACTCAGCGAAGTTGGTGCTGTCATCCATGGTGAAGCCTGGTCGACTTGTGCTGCTCAATACGACCGTTAGGACCGTTAGTGCTTTTATACAATTTCGCCACACAATATGTGTGGCCTGTGTCTTTACCTTTCAAAGGTGATATTGGAATCTTAGAGACATAGACTCTACCATGGGACCATGATAGCCATTCAGAAGCTTATCGAATTGAGGTTTACTGTACTATATGTTACAAGGCAGGAAGGCTTCGGAAGCGAAGCTGACCTGAATTGGGCGGCAAACTGCTTGGACAAAGTCGGAGAAAGCTGTCGGTGTCTCTGGTCAATGCACGTGCTGCCTCTTGTGCACCGGCCAAGTCATAGTGAAAAATGCGGTTGTTGCTTGCATCTTCTGCACTCCACTGGATCAAATGAAACCAGGGAAAAACATCATCCTGAAGTTCCTCCTCGCGGGCCTGAGTTCCGCCCATGGCGGCGTCTTCTCGGCTTCTAGACTTTGAGCCAGCTGTTTGTTGCACGAAGCGGATATTATCGAAACACAAAGGAAAATCAATGTAGACTATGTTATGATTGTCATGTGACAAATATACATGCGTGGGTATAGCGAGCAAAAAGCCTTCAGTAGTCGATAGGGCACCCAATGCCGGCATCTGTGCAATTCAGCGATCCTCGAAAGGTGCCCCATCGTCACTTCCACGAGGTGATGGCTGACCCGGAATTTGGGAGGAGTCCATGCTGACCGCACCTGTCCACAAGCTTCTGCCATGAAAAACAAGCCTGGAATATTGCCACCAATGATGGCACGTCTAAACTCTCCATGTCAGCTTCATCTTCAAGCCTGCTTCATCGCGGCTTTCACTGCGTCGCCTGGTGGACAGCCGCGTACATCTTAGAAACGCCATCAAACTTTCACTCAGTTTAAACGTCTCACAACCCTCACATCGTCTGTGTCGCCAAATGGACTTGCTTTGAGCATATATAGACCGTGTTCTCAGGGAGTTTCCCCATGTCGCCTTCGAGGTCGGCTGGAGGATCGCCCCAGCTTCTCACCCTCCTCTCCCACTGGCTCTGCCCGGTCTCGATTCCGGTTCTCTGCATTGGCCAGCCTGAGCCAAGGAGCGACAGAGGAGATTTATGTTTATGTATATTTACATATATATATATATTTATAAGTGTATATATATATATATGTGTATGCATACCCCCAAACAAAACAGATACAATGTGCATAAAACACCGCAAATACAAATAAACACTAAAAAAGGTAGACATTTGGGGGGGTACCATATGTATATATATATATCATTAGTATATTTAAGGGCATAACTACTAGTAGCACGAAGCTACTAGTAACAAGTGCATCGCTACTAGTAACACGGGCATTACTACTAGTAGCAATGTTGAACAAAGATATAACATATATAACATCATATAACGTTGAGATCAAACTCCCAAGAGCAGGAACACAAAATCCTGATTCGGCAGCCGACCTTCCAGCAGGCAGCCCAGTCTTGGAGTTCTTCCTCGCGGAGGGGCACTCATCAAGCGGGTCAAATTCATTCCTTCCCGAGAATCTCAATGAGATGCAAATGGAATACTGGAAGCCAAGCTTTGCGTGAACCACACAATTTCTACTGGACCGATCGCACTGATTGGAAACAATTTATATACTATTTACTGTAAGAATCCTATCACATCATCATCATCATCATCATCATCATCATCATCAATCATCTGGGTTATTTTTGTTTGATCTTCCTCCCACATGTCAAGTCAGGGGTTGTTTGTGGCTTGTATCTCCTGCCATCGTCGCGCTTCTCTGCCTCGTCCCGAGGGGCACAAGAAGGCGAAGTCGCTGAATCTGAAGTTCATCTTTTGATTCCCAGCCTCTGGCCCACCTTTGCTCTCAAACCTGTCACACAACTAAAGTCAAGAGTTTACTGTTGAGATGAAGCAAGCGGTGGAGCAAACATTGAGAGTATTTGTCCGCAATGAATCATAATGAGATTGCTGGGGCCAAGACGGTGAGCTTTGAACACTTACGGACTCCGTCTCTACCTTCACCTGAACACAGGTCAGAAGGTGGAGGAAAAGCGTCCAAAAAAACACAGCAACACACAGCAAACAGGACATGCATCCTGACCCCTCGCCTCGTCACGCTTGACTTCCCAGCTTGGTGGAGCAGGAGGGGACTCGACCTGTTTCTTCTGTGCCGCGTTGGCCAAATCGGCCTCCAACCTTGGCATGGCCAGATTTGTCGGCTCGCTGCTTGGGGATAGGCCACGCGTCGATGTTCTGCTTCATTGTTAATCTTCCGCGAAACGGAACACTCATTGACAAAATGGTGATGGTGGGATATGGTATGCTATGCTGCATATGCCTTCAAATTATGGAAAAAAAACAACTGGAGGGGGAAGACATCCGGCACCACTTGGGATACAGAACATATCAGAACATGAGGGTAAGTCGGTAAGTCTACCGGGCTTGCTGTGTTTGAACCGAAAGGGTCCTTTTGGGGTCTGCTGTGTACAGTACAGCCAAGTCACAGCTGCGGTGGTGGCAGTGGTGGCACTGGCGCCCGCGGCTGTGCAGATGTGGCCGGCGCTTCCGGCACCACTGGGCGGCCTTTGCCTGGGCCATCGCTATAGTTTCCAGCTGGACGGGGGAGGACCTGTAAGTGCACTTAACATCTGTTGGCTGTCAGTTTGGGTGTCCATGACTCTGAATCGCAGGGATCCCTGAGTTTCTAAACATCCTCGCCACGTCGCCAAGCTTGGGTTGCATGGAACAAATTCACACTAAGGCCCCTGACTGACAGACCGCGACCTACGTTGCTCACGTTGCTTGTCCTTCTCAATGAAATCCCTTCGCCACTGGTTCATGATCTCAGAAACCTGACAAAGCACGGCTTCAAGAAACACTGCTTGGCAACTTGGCAGTTTTGTTGGCCAGGGCTTGCAACATGCCTTTTCTTTGTCAAAGCGGAGTATGGTTCTCCAAAGGCATGTCGGGAGCCTGCTCATCCAGGTTCTCAGTTTGCCGTGTCTTTGAGGACGGCGTATCTCCAGAGGAGACCTGGAACGACTTTTTGGGGGGGTAGGCCGCTAGGAGGTAATAGCTAGGTGGCTAGTAGAAAAGGTAGCTAGTAGCTTAAGTAGCCGCTACTTAGGACGCAGGATAGCTCACGCTTCTTCAAGAGAAGCGCTCGCACTATTAATAATGATTTGGTTTCTAGATGTTTAGGGAAACTTAACATTGGACCGGTGGATCATTGCGCTCGTCTCTCCGTAATCCACCTTTCGACTCCAACCCTGACCCTTGACATCCCTTGACTGCATGATTGATTTCGTCAATCCATAGGCCTCACTCGTTCCCAGGCTTAACTTCTTGGATTGACATTGACCATCGCTTTTGATCTGAAAAGCATTGGAGCCCGCAATACGGGGTTGCAGTTCCCCAGCCTTGAGCAAGTCTTCAAGCCTTGGCACTCTTACACTTGACAGCTCGAAAACTGCTCAACCACCACACCCTTGAAACATCTTGAAACCGCTCGGAGGCATCCTGCATTCGTTCAGCCAAGGCGCAGCTTCTGGATCGCAGGATTGGAATGCCAGGCCTTGGCACGTGGCGAGTTGCACTCGAGACACCAACCTTTTGGCCGAGGGTGTGGCCATTCCGCCGAGCCGGAAGACGGTTTGGCATCCAGCATCGCGTTTCGCGGGCTGACCCTGGAGATGCTACAAGATGCCGCAGCCGACATAGTGCAATGCTGCAGTGAATGTTTTGAACTTGACCGGCCTTGTCATCCTCTGACTTCTCTTCAGTCTTCTGGGATGCAGAAATGTTACGCAACTGCTTGGATGCCTGCAAAGTGGCCGAACTCCAAGCTACAGTAAATTGTTGCTACATGTTGCTACTGCTATTGCTTCTCCATCCCTGAAGCATGGCTTTGCACATACGAACAGTATGAAGAAAAAAACGAGTGTGGCGTGACTTTCAACTGCTCAGTGCAGCGCCTCCACGTGCATCTGCTTCAACGACTGCACGGCAGTGGTCGAGTTGGTGGATCCTTGGGGGTGCGCTGAACTGCCTCCTTTCTCGACAAGCGCAAGAACTTGCAAGACTCTGGGGCACAGCACCCTTGTTCTTGAAGGACTCCAAAAGACCTTCAGGGATCTTCAGGGTAAATACCAGGATCAAAAAGAAACATGCACAAGAAGAAACATAAATCTCCGCTTAGACAACTTAGCGAAGGGTGCCTGACGCTTCTTCCAGAACATCCCAAGTTTGAACCTGAGCAGCCGCCTGTCAGCTGCACATGGCTGGTACCCTGAGGTACCCTCACCCAGCAGACTCCCTGGATCAATTCTACTATTAGTCCGCTATACTTGCACATACATGGCTGAAACTAATCCAAGCGGTGGTTCGGGGTTGATTTATAGCAACAAATTGCAGTAATCCAGGAAGCTGGAGGAAGGCTAAACATTAATCCAGGTGCCAAATCGAATGCGTCGCGCATGATCATCACAAACACCCTACGCAATCTGTGTCATGCCTGTCCTCTGTATATAATATATTCCATACGGCTTCACAAGTCATCACAAATATTCACTGTGACAACATCTGCCATCACTTGCCACATCTTTCCATATCTTCGACATCCTTCTTTGAGGTGGGGGAGGCTCTGAAATTAATCCAACCATGTTGTCCACATTTCTTTAAACACGAGCCGTAAAGGTTCTCTAGTTACTCGTTCTATATATGTTATGCTAAACATTGCTAAACCTATCTAGGCTTCTCGTTGACAATTAATTAGTCTCAAATACATAAATGAAACGAAGTAATCCACGATGCCACCCCAGTAATTTGCCTAGGCTCCCCCCATAGCTGTACCATGTCGCCACATCCGAAAGAAACACATCAAAACAGTGGCAACCATGGCCTCAGTGCGTCGTGACCGGTGTGAGGCATTGCTCTTCACGGTGCCCGGATCCTTCGTGGGTAGGCCGTCGACGGGACACACGACCAAGCCTTGCAAGCTGATTCCAAACCAAATTTGGAGTTTAAACTCTAAACAGAAACGACATAGTCAAACATTCTCATCATCAGTTTCCATGTTTTTCTTGAAGAAGTTCGATCATGCTTTTTCCCAAAAGAACATCATGATGATCAGCACATGCCTTTATGACACACGTCCATTTGCGCCCACAGTTTGTCGGCCTGTTGGGCTTCCACCAGCTCCTCAAGCGGCCCACGGTCAGCATTCAAAGCCTTCTCAACGGCTTTCAAGCAACTTGCGGCGCCTGAGCACTCTGCTGCCGATGCTGGCAGCATATGCAATATATATATATATATTACCTCCCCCCCCCAAACCTACCTTTTTGAGCTTGCCAGGCATATTGTGAAGATGTGTACAGTTGTGGGTGAAGACCAGTTATTGTAATATCTTCTTGATTGATTGTTTGGCTCTACAACTGTCGCAGGTTGTAAACCCTTCAGTAAATCTC